TGGAAGCCGTAGTACTTTGAAAAGCTCGACCAATCATCTGAGCCGGCTCGGCTAAAATAACTGGATGGCCTACCTGCCTGTCAGCCTTCCATCTGTGCACAAACTTATCTCGTGCCCTCATTGGTCATGCATGCGTTCGTGTGTGTTGGAGGAGGGGCTCTGTAAGGAAGTCTGTAGGAAGGGGCAGATTTGTTCCGGTTGTGTATTTTGAAATTCTAGCGCACTCGAACTGGTTTCTCCAAAATGACATACCTCACCTTTAACTTAAAAGAATATTCAATTGGCTCACCAAACCATAATTAATTACCATAACATAATGTGCTCATACTTTATCTTATCTTGATAAATCTGTTTCTTTTGCTCCTTTCCGTTTGCTTTTATCCATACACCAACCTTTATACCTCGGCAAAGCGTAGAAACTTCTCACCAGTTTTCTTTAGAAAGACTTATCTTTGTTAAAGGAGTTTAATGTGAAGGTCTTCTCCTCTCAGCTGATCAGCCAGGAGCCGAACCAGGGCGTGGATTACGAGTTCTACCTCCCCAACGGACGCTCCAGACAGGGATACTACTGGAGCTTTGGGTCCTGGTCGACCTGCAGCAGGGAGTGTGGATCAGGTCAGACGCTCAGACACTGAAACCGTCAATATTGAAGAGGAATTATCTTTAGTTCACCATCATAGTGTTTTGCATAATTAAACAAATCAAGCAGGTCAATTCTTGGAAATACTTTTATTGATAGAACATGTGATATCTTGGAAAAATAATATTACATTTTTCTGCAAATGGAGAAAACATGAGTGATAATTTGTGTTTTACAGTTATTGCAATATTACATAGTTTTTCTCTACTACTTTAAAATCCAACCCTTTGAGGAACTCTATGACGAAGCCTAACATAATAACATATGAATTGTTGCCATCAAACTGGAGATACAGGGTCCCACGAGTGAAGTCAATCCTACATGTAGCTTAAAGGGTTTCGAACATATGGACTTGATATCCATTTTAAATGTCTGTTTACTATGTTGGGATTTGTCCTTGTCGATGTTGCAAATGGAGCTGCTGTGATGCAAGAAACATTTCAGACTTGATCTGACCTTATCGTGTCGTATAATTATAACGTACTTACTAACTCAAAGCCATTCCTCTCTCTCGCCCTCCATCAGGCTACCAGTCTCGCCTGGTGTTCTGCACCATCGATAACGAGTCGTACCCCGATTACCTGTGTGCGTCTCTGCCGAGGCCGCAGAACAACCGCACCTGCAACCCCCACACCTGCCCCCAGACCCGCAGGTACACACTCACATTACACCGGAAGCACGGGACATTTCTGTTGATTTTGGCAGAATCTTCTTAAGAAAATCTAATTTTTAGTCCAGTGTTTAGTGGTGAAAAGTACATTTACTACTGTACTGCACTTAAGTACAATGTTGTGTTACTTCACTTGAGTATTTCCATTTTATCATACGTCTACTTGACTACAACTTATTGTTCATTTGACTGCATAGCATTTATCTGACACCATAGTCATCTTAATAATATCAAATATAGTCTAAGTTCTTCTTCCATTTCTGATTGTTGTGTTAGTTTGGTGCAAGCAATAACCCTCAGAGCAGTTTCTGACTGTTGTTGTTGTTGTTGTTGTTGGTGTTGATGATGATGTCTGAAGGATGGCGTACCTGTACCCTCCTCAGCTGTGGAGCTCCGCTCTCAGACCCAGAGCCTTTGTGTTCAGGTACCCAGGCTCTGATAGAGGTAGTGTTAAAGTAGACAGCAAACACAGGGGGAGATCTAAACATACATGAGCATGGACCATCATGGGGGGGTAATCTTCCAGGGTCTTCCAAAATGTAAAATGCACAAAGGCCTTGGATATTCACTGAGATTAAAGTGGTGAAATTACAAGGACAACATTTGAATTTTTTCTGAGATTAGCATAACACATTTAGACGAAAGGAACTCACATGTTCTCTGAGATTCAAATGTGTTTTGCTAGAATATTTATCAGTTAAATCGAGAAGACCATATCCAAGTTTTTTACTGATATATGTTGATATTTCTCTCTGAATATTACCGCCCTCATCCTGCTCTCCGATGCTCCTGATACACTGGCCTACGGAGGAAGATATGGGGAACATGTGACAATTTTTCTGAGACCTAACGAAAAGTTAACATTTATTTTTTGCTCTGAGACTAAACGAAGAAAAATATTTTTAAATCAGATTTTTGTTGTAATTCTGACAAAAAGAATCCCTTTTGGTCAGATCGGTGTCTCAAATGTTTTTCACGTGGCCCTATTCTTCTTCTGTAGTGTCCTTTACAGTGACACCTTGGAAACAAATATTAAGTAGGGGTGCACCGAATGGGAAATTCTTGGCCGAAACCGATACCGAAAATAGGAAACAGTTGGCCGAAAACCGAATGCCGAAAGGCCGAAAATGATTAATAGAAATATATATATATATAT